ATACCCGACGTTTCGAACGCTTTACAGCACTCATGGTAACGGGCACAGAATACATTTACCCAATCACGGTCACGGGCGGGACTTGGCGGGACTGAGATCACGGGGATTTTTCGTTTTTATAGATTTTTTTATTCACAATATGCTGATGCGTTACATTGAGAAATTTTTCGGAGATTTTGAAGACAGTCACTCAAGTTCATAAAGCGCTTAAAGAATAAATAAATTTTGATATAAAAATCAAGTTACCTTGAAGCACTTGTTTCATTTTTTTCTCTAATATTTCACATGCGCGGACACTCAATACACAAAATAGGATCATTTTACGTTTAAAATAATGTTACGAGCTTGCGGTTCGTGACAATAAAAATTGCCGATAAAATTACCTAAATTAACACTTTAATTTACTTTACACAAATTAAAACTAAAAACACTAATAATTAAACACACTAATTCACTTAATTCCGCTCCGAAGCTTCGCTTGTGTCGCCGAGTTCAACTCTGCCCGATCGCATCTTGCAGCGCCTACTTATATAAATTAGCAAAATATCCAGAATGTTCAAGTAAACACGCGCAAGGTACCGAGAGTTCGAGTTTTAAACTTTAAGAAGTTTAGTTCTTTGGTTCGAGACTAGATGGCGCTAGTGTGCCGATTTTAGCGCGTAACACTGCCCCCCTCCTAAGACATGCTCGTCCCGAGCATGATCGGTCCCATAATAACGCGCTAGGCGATCCACATGGACGATCTTAGGAGTCCCTCTTGCGCCTTTCTGTAATGGCTCCGCAATGTCAAGGGATGTCCTATCCCGTGGTGCACCAACATTGTACAATTTCGATGCTCCTCTACTCCATGTCTGAGGTCCCCTCACAGCCGCACAACTTGTACATGTACGACACCAATCCTCGACATCGTCACGATAATGGACCCAGTAAAACTGTTCTCGGACCTTCAGTAGAGTTCGATTAACTCCCAGATGGACTCTTGAACGACCATTATGGCACAGTTGTAGAACATTCGGCACTTTAGCTTTAGGGACGACCATTTGCAGACGACAGCTGTCTCCTCGACCATTGTCCCATTTACGGCACAGGACTCCATCCTGAAGCAGCAAGCTGTCCCATTGGGCCCAATAGCTTTTCGTGGTTGAACTCATCGCTGAGACGTCCTTCCACTTAGGCTTGGTAGCACGGGCCTTCATCCATCCCAGAATCGGCTTGATGTCCGGATCTTCCTGCTGTGCATGTCGTAGGCTGTCCTTCCACCCGTTGCTGAGGTGGTCTGTTCTGAGCATCCTCACTGATACCACTTCCTTACCTTGCCTACTACAATGGTTGCAATCTTCAGGACAAGGTCTTGTCAATGCATCTGCGTTGCCGTGAGATTTCCCGCTGCAGTGTCTGATAGTAAAGTCGTATTCCTGCTGCTGCTGGGCGGTGTTGTTAGCCGCACTTCCTTTCTGAGACCGTTCACCTTCCCTTCCTAGGGTGTGCTTAGGGCAGCTAGACCGAAGATGGCCCCTTTCCCCACAGCCATAGCACCTAGGGCTGTATCTTTTATTGTGGTCGCGAACCGTAACTGCTGTACCCTCCCTAGCGTGAGGTGAACGATGATCCTGTCGCCGCCAGGCAGTGCCGTTAGCTGTACTACCCTCTCGAGATCGATCAACTCTCCTTTCCACGGTTAGTTTAGGGCATCTGGATCGAAGATGGCCCCTTTCCCCACAGCCATAGCACCTAGGGCTGTATTCTTTGCTGCGGTCACGGACTGTAGTTGCTGCAACCTCCCTGACGCGATGGGAACGATGATCCTGCCGCACGGCTTCCACCTCCAGTGCATGGACCAAGGCGTTCTTAAGTGTCTCGTGGTGCCCGAGCCTCACAGCAGCTCTGACTTCCAGGTCACGGATGCCGTCGATGAATGTCTGCACCAGGTTCCCTTCAATGAGCGCAGGTACAGACCGGTATGCTTTTCGCACCAGCTTCTCCACCTCTAGAGCCCACTGCTGCAGGTTTTCGTTGATGCGCTGCACGCGATCTTTAAGCTGAAGACGTGTTCCAGGTGAGCGTCGCCATATCTCACCTCCAATGCCTCAAGGAGCTGCTCGTAGGTCACTTTCTTACCGAGAGCTTCCAACACGGTTAAGGCTTGGTCGCGCAGGCCTAAGGTGAGTGCAGTCATGGCCTGGCTTTTATTCCAGCCGTTCGCCTTCATAACAGCCTCGAACTGGATTTTGTAGGCTGACCAGGAAGAGGTACCGTCGAACGGTGGCACCTTGAACCCACGTAGCGAAGGTGTTGTAGCTACTACGGGAGCTATAGCTCCATCTCCAAGTTTGAGTTCGTCCAGTGATTTCTTCATGTCAGCCATTACGTTGTCAACCCGATTGTTTACTTGGTCGATTTGGGTTTTAGCTTTCTCGATTTTGGTTTCAGCTTCCGACAGGCGTTTGTCATGCTGAGCAACCCTATCCTTCACCTCCTTTATCTCCTTCCCGAAGATAGCGTGAAGGTCCTTCATGAGGAGCATCTGTTCCTCCTGTCGGCGGGCCTGTTCCTCTTGTCCGCTCTGCAGCTGCTCTTTCCACTGACGGACCTGTTCCTCCTGTCGGCGAGCCTGCTCCTCCTGTCGGCGAGCCTGCTCCTCCTGTCGGCGAGCCTGCTCCTGCAGCATCACCATCAGAGCACCTAAGTCAGGTGCTGCAGATGTAGGAGCTACCGACGGGCCTGCAGCCGGTGGCTGGCCCTCCGACGTCTGCGGCGTTGCACCAGCAAATCTTCGTTGGTCCGTCTCCTGCTGGCGTTGACTTCGGGTACGGACACCCTCCGTTTCCTCCTTAGGTAAAATCGGCATTATTTTATCCCACTTCTGACACCAATTGTTACGAGCTTGCGGTTCGTGACAATAAAAATTGCCGATAGGATTACCTAAATTAACACTTTAATTTACTTTACACAAATTAAAACTAAAAACACTAATAATTAAACACACTAATTCACTTAATTCCGCTCCGAAGCTTCGCTTGTGTCGCCGAGTTCAACTCTGCCCGATCGCATCTTGCAGCGCCTACTTATATAAATTAGCAAAATATCCAGAATGTTCAAGTAAACACGCGTAAGGTACCGAGAGTTCGAGTTTTAAACTTCAAGAAGTTTAGTTCTTTGGTTCGAGACTAGATAGCGCTAGTGCGCCGATTTTAGCGCGTAACAATAACAACTGCAGTCTGTTTCACAGATTAATAAATCCATATCAAAATATACCAATATCATAGTACCATTCCTCAATCTTATACCGCGTTTACACATGCGTGCTCGTGATTCGCCTCACCATTCGACAAATTGTTGGCGAGGTATTCGTGTGGCTACTCGAATGAGCGTTTACATATTCGCGTCTAATAATTTCTACTGCAGCCTGGCTAAGAACATTCTAGAGGTTTTTGCATTGCATTTGCAACGATAATGTGATTTATACCGTGTTGTTCTGATTCATCAAACAATTTTTCTTTAATTTTCAATCTTTTACTGGTCTTCTGGTTTCTCTGGTTACTACTGATATGCTGGTCAAAGCATTGTATACTTTCTGCTTATTATTATGATGAACATGCTTTGAATTATTAATGACTGGCTGACTATGATAAAGCTCCAAAAACATCATAACTTTATTTTTGGTCAAGTCCATTTTGTTTATGTTACTTGATAGGCCGTTTGCTATGAAATGAACTAAAAAGCAAATGTGTAAATACTAATTCGTCTCGCCGCCCTTTTCCTTTCGTCTCGTGGCCAAAAAACCCTCTTGCGACATGATTGTCACGAGCGGTGACGTGAAACACGAGGCCATAGCAGGATTCGATTGACGAACTACCGTTTACATAAAACATATTTATGCTCGTACCCCGACTCGCTGTGGCGCTCGCCTGGTCACTCGTGCGAATGTGTAAATGTAGCTTATGATTACGATACTACCATACTCTTTGACCATATCAGAGTTACAGAGTATATACATGGTAGAGAGATTCTTTAATTTTTATCATGGAGTATAGAGGTAGGGAGGATAATCTCCCATAGAAGAATAGTTGAAAATGTGTCCATCCGTTAGCAGTAAATAACATTTCAAAAACTCTCCACAACAGCGCTCTAGTAGCTACAGGGAATGATAAATCGCCGTAAAATACGTTGAGCGTGATTTTGAAAATAAAAGTTTTGTAAGCAATAATATAATTATTGTAAAAAGAAATATTGTGAAAGTCTGTGTAATAGTTTTTTTTAAAAAGTTTTTTAAAATTTAGACTATAGCTACAGTAGCGCCACCCATATTTAACGATTTCCTACGGACACTTTTTTATACAGAGTCTGTACTCCTTACCTCTACACTTCATAATAAAATTATGAATTATAGCACAGACTTTCACCATAATTCTTTTAATTCTAATATATCGGGTAGAGTCGATTTCATGAAAGAAATCCCTTTGCCACGGCACCACAGTCTTTGCGAAGTTTGACATCTGGTGTCAAATTCCATACATTAAAATTAAATTTTAGTTCGCACAATTTCCGTGGGACTTCTTTCATGAACGGACTTTAGTTTAAAATCATTATTCACTACCACAGAGTACTTTTTGTATACCTGATCACTACCACAGAATAAATAATAGTACTCACTACGTTTTGATTTTATTTATGTCTATAATCTAGAAGTAGAAGTCTATCTTATACAGTAATCTATGCTCTAGACTTTAGAGCAGAGGCTGCAAGCATAGATTACTGTGTATATACTAGGCTGCAAGTGGCTGCAAGTCTGCGAGTTACGAACGAAACGAACCTATTTGTTTGTATAAAAGAGTACCTGTATCCACTGCGTTTATTTATCTCCCATGTAAAATAAGATAAATACTTTAAATACTAAACGTTGTGATCTGGTGACATTGATAAAATAACATCATTTATAAAATTAAATCACGTTACGTGACGCTGCTAAAATAGTGTATTGCTGATGTGATATTACTGAAATGTCATCGTATATGGCAGGTGTTTTCGATTTAGATTTAGATGTTGATACTGTTACTGTTGGAGATTCAGACGAAGACGACATAATCGAAGTTGATGAGGTATTTATGTTATGTTTGATTGTTAAGAATATTGTTGACACCGTTCCCTAACCTAAAATTTTTCGTGCCGTAGATGAAATTGTCCAAAAGCTAAAATAATCGCGTTATGTTCTGCATATATTTTTTAATGTATTTATTTTGGTTTTGTGAAATAATTATTTAGTTTCATATGATAGACTTACATGAATTTTTGTATTAATACAATTATAGTACATTATAATCATTTTTATAACATGCATATTGTCCAGGTTGATTACGACCCTGAACTCAACGTCAACAATATTGCAGAGTAAGTGTAAATTTGAATTAAGAATTTAAATATATTTATGGTATTAAAACTGTAGTTTATGTTTTATAATAAGAGTAACCATTATATTGTACTTTATAGGTCAGAATGCTCAGAAACTATACAATTGTCAGAAGATAATGTAAACCCAGGGCAATGTAAGCGCTTAGGCCCCCAAGATTTCGAACTACGCAAAGTATTAGGTAAAGGAGGTTATGGCAAGGTATTTCAAGTCCGTAAAATTACTGGCCCAGATGCAGGCGCTCACTTTGCCATGAAGGTTCTTAAAAAAAGCATCTATTGTTCGTAACCAGAAGGATACTGCACACACTAAAGCTGAAAGAAATATTTTGGAAGCTGTAAAGGTATTAAATTCCATTTGCTATATTTCAAAAATCTAGGATTCGTATTTAGATTTACTGCCTATAGTTAGAATATTCAATCTAACTATAGGTAGTAAATCTACTTTTTTTACTTTTATATACAAAGTTATAAAGCTCAGAATCTTATAGTTTTTGGGAAAATTAAGAACAACATTGCAATTTTCTTTGATAATCTTGTCCATTTGACATAAACCTAGGAAATAAAAAAAAAATAAGAAAAACCTATTGCCCATATTTGGATCTACTACCCAAAGATACAACTTTCAAATGACTACTGTTTGAAAGATTTACTTTACATAGTTTATAAAGTTCGGAAGTTCCTAGTTTTCGAGAAAATAGAAAGCAGTTATGATTTTCTTTATTAATCATGCTCATTTGACATAAGCCTATGAAAAATTTTCAAGTCTTCAGGTTTGCTCTAGACAAGTTTTGATGTCAATTTCATCAAAAAATTTGCATTTTTTTAAAGGAGGGCTACTGCAGGTTACTGGAGTCCTAATTATTTACAGCTATTAGATTACTTTTAACTATAATCTTCTTATTTTTTCTTACTTTTTTTTTAAGAATATTAACAATGCTATAAACATTACTAATATTCCCCTCGTGGTAAGCTTAAATTGCTTGTGTTACAAGTGATTCACGACAGTAGTCGAATGGTGGATTCGAACCCACGACCTTTTTGAGTTCGCAGTCCGCTCCCTGCTATGAGGCTACTGTCGCTTTTTTACAAATTGTAATATACACTAATGGACAAATTTAGATGAATGCAATATAGAGTTTGTATAAAACAAAATATCATGGATATTTGTGTTTATTTGTGAATTTGGATTTTGCTTATTATTAAATAATTTTAATGTTGTAAAGGTCATAAAAACAAATAATCAAATAATAAAAATTAACCAATTTAGGAATAAAATAAAAAATTTACAGGAAAGAAATATTTTTGTACTTATCATTTTATTCATTATTTTCATTTTTTTTATAAATGCTTAGGAAAGGTTATAACATGGCCTATAATCAGTACTGTTACTCCCTTCTAGCTAGCTCTTTGAACTGCTTCATCTTCTTTTCATATAATAATAATAATAATAGCCTTTATTTCAGACATTTTCATTTACAGTATCTATCTGGATTAATCTATATCTAACACTGGATTATATATTATATATATTTACACTCTCAACGCTTAACTATTGTACATCGACAACCCTGTCTGTATGCCACTTATTGGCAAAGGCCTCCTCCAACCTTTCCCATTCTTTTCTATCCTTAGCAGTTCTCGTCCATATGCCTCCTGCTATGGCTTTAATATCATCCTCCCATCTTCTACATGGTCTACCTTTTTTCCTTTTCATATGACCTGTAAACCAATTCATTATTGATTTCGACCATTTCTCTTTTCCTCTAATTATATGACCTGACCATTTCCATTTTAACTTTTTTATTATTATTGTGACATCTTTTGTTTTTGTGTGTTTCTTTATGGTTTCGATTCTTATTCTATCGGATAGTCTTTTCCCCATCATACTCCTTTCCATGGAGTTTTGGCATGTTTCTAACTTTTTAATGTGTGCTTTAGTGAGTGCCCAGGTTTGGCAGCCATAAGTGAGTATAGGTAGTATGCTGGTATCAAAGAGTTTCCGTTTGATGGTTATGTTAGTGTCGTTATTTTTCATTATTTCTTTTAGGCTCCAAAATTGTTTCCAGGCATTTCCAATGCGTCTGTCAATTCTTTTGAGGTTAATTTATAGGAGAGATTATCTGGCCTAAATAGATGTATTCATTAACATATTCAATCAGGTTATTATTGACAATAGGTTCTTCCTTGCCATTGGTCAACCTTGGTCTTTAATGTGTTCATGACCAATCCCACATTGCCACTTTCTCTGACCAGGTCATTCAACATCGCCTGCAGTCCGTCACTCGATGACGAGAGGATTATCAAATCATCGGCAAATCTCAAATGTGACAGGTTTTCGCCGTTAATGGACAGTCCACATTTCTCCCAGTCTAATTGACGAAAGACTTCTTCCAAAACGGCTGTGAAGAGTTTCGGCGATAGCGGATCGCCCTGACGTACGCCTCTTCCTATTATAATATCTTTACCTTCCTTCTCTAGTTTTATCTTAGCCTTGCTGTTATCGTAGATATTTTTTAGTATTCTGATGTATTTATTTTCAATACCTTGGTTTTTGAGTGTCTGCCAAATTTTTTCATGCTCTATTGTATCGAAAGCTTTACTGTAATCCACAAAGCAGCAGTAAAAGGTTATGTTGTATTCATTGGCTTTTTCGAATAGTTGCTTGATGACATGAATGTGGTCTAAAGTTGAGTATCCGCTCCTGAAACCCGCCTGCTCTCTTGGTTGATTTTCATCCAACGTGCTAGTTATTCTATAGAGTATAACTTTTGCGAAGATTTTATATATATTCGACAATAGACTTATAGGTCTATAATTATTAATGTTATTTTTATCTCCTTTTTTGTGTATAAGTACTATTGTTGACGTTGTCCATTGGTAAGGTATTATCTCACTTTGTAAGACTTCATTGAAGAGATGTTTGAGAATTGGTATCAGGTGGTTTCTATTTAGGATGAGGAACTCGTTACTTATGCCATCTAATCCTGGGGCTTTATCTGTTTTTTGAGTTCTCACAGCTTTTTCTACTTCATCGTGTATTATATCTGGTACTTCACTTCCTCCTGTTAGGATTGTTGTCTGTGCAGTGTTTTTCCTTGAATACAATTCTTCAAAAAATTGAGTGGCTATTGATATGATTTCAGGGCGTCGCTTCTCGCATTTATGATTTTTGTTTATTAAATTTGGTATCCAATCTCGTTTTTCCAATAGTAGTTTAGCTGTTTTTTTTGGTGCCTCCGGTTCTTTGTATGCATTTTTCCAGTTGTTCTAATCTATACCTCTGACGGTCTTTTCTCATGTGTGTTTTTATTTTATTACTTAAATTAGCTATGTCTTTTCTTATAGTTTTTGTCTTTTCAGGGTTAGATATAAGGTCTGCTCTACTTCTTATCAGTTCTTTAGTTTTGTTTGTTATCCATTTTGTCTTATTGTTTCTACTTTCCATTTTGCCTTTTTTAGTAGTATAGAGGAGTTCTTCGAATTTATTGTATTTACTCTGTATGTCTAAGTCCTTTGTTTTTTCTATGAATTGTTCTATCTTTCCTTTTAGTGAATCGGTACTTTCTAGTGTTGAGCTGTTGGTTTGTTTTACTTTAAAGGGTCTATCTTTATTGAGTGTGTTTATTTGTAACTTAGCTCTTAGCATCCTGTGGTTGCTGTTGAAATTAATATTGTTTAAAACTCTACAGTCCCGAAAGTCTTTACTTTTGTTTGTTAGTATGTGATCTATCTCGTTTTTGTGGTGACCATCTGGAGATATCCATGTCCATCTGTTGTTCTCACGTTTTCTGTATAGAGTGTTTAGTACTTTTAAGTTGTTTCCATATGCCAGTTGGACAAGTTTCTCCCCATTTCTTGTTCTTTTTGCCTGAACAATACGGACCCAATATCATTTGTTCTCCGTCTCCTCTTGCCCCTATTCTTGCATTAAAATCTCCCATCACTACTAAATTGTTGTGCGAGTGTTTGATTATTGCGTCCTGTAACATAGAATAGAACGTGTCGATTTCTGTTCTACTTGATTGTTCAGTTGGAGAGTAGACTTGCACAATCGACCACTTTTCATTTTTCGGAGGTAGTTTTATATTAAGTATAACAATACGCTCTGAGATGCCAATGAACTCGTCAATAAATGGTTTTAATTCATTTTTTATTAAGAATCCTGTTCCATATAAGCCTGGTGTTTCTCCTTTATAATAAAATATAAAATGCCCGTGGTCTTCTATACTCTCCCCTAGTCGTCGTACTTCACTCAAACCCAGTATTGACCACTTTACATTTTCTAGAGCTAGTATTAGTTCCGTTAGACTCTCATGAGTTCTTAAGGACAATGTATTGTATGTCGCAATGTGTATTTTATCTGCCATTTGGCGATGTTTTTTAGGAGGAATGTGTAATTGGAAATTAGTTGGAGGGTAATAGTCTTCTTCCCCCACGGTGACTGGCCGGATTGGGGTGCCTTTAGAAAAAGTTTGTTTTATTGATGTTGTGTTGTCTCGGTTCCGGGTGTCGATGTCATTTACAGGTTTTTTGGTATTTCTGATATCAAAGCTGAACTTCCTCTTTCCACATAACTGAGTATCTTAGGTCTTATAATGTCTTTTCCTACAGTTTTGGTCGCTGAGTTGATTTGTGTCTTGAAAACGGTAGTGGTAGCTTTCTTTTGATTTGAGTTGTTTGGTGAACCTGACTCTTCTCTTTTTCTCTTTTCTGGGTAGTTATCTTTGTTTTTCTTTACTACTAATTTATTGTATCTTATGAATGCTACATTTCCTTTTTTCTTTTCTTCTTCAACCTGTAACTGTAGCTGCTTGCGTTTTTCTAGCATTTCTTTAGAATAATCTTCCTTAATGTATATTCCTTGTGGAAGTTTGGACTTGTTTCGCAATATCAGGTGCTTTTTCCATAGCGTAGTAATAGTGACTACGACCGGGCGGTTTTTGTTGTCGACTTGTTTCCCAATTCTGTATATTTTACTGATTTCATTACTATCGAAGTGTATTTCCATGTCTATTATGACGTCCTTGATGTAATCCACAAGCTCACATTCGGTTTTTCCTATTTCTTCTATTCCAAAAAATACTAAATTATTTTTCCTTTTTTTCATCTTTCAAAAACTTTACTTCTATTTCTAATTCAGATATTTTTGTTTTGAGGCTACTATTTTCTTCCATAATAAGTTTCATCTTTTCATCAAGCGCCTCCATTACATTTTTCGTAACTGAAGTTGTTATTAGAAGAGCCTGATTATTAAGTTTCTTATCTAGTATTGATATTAGCTTATCC